AGCCAAATTGGCTAATAATGAAGATGGGACGGTGCTCAGATGGAAATATGACTGCTGGTACAGTGGGCTGAGGTTAAACGAAACTCGGTGTATCGCTGCTCCTTAGTACGAGGACGTGCTTTAATTTTTGCAGAGAGCTTTGTCGTTCTGGAAAACTTATTTTTAAACAATTTTTTCTTGCCTTTAATAACCCAAAACCCTTAAAATCTACACTTTTTCCTAAAGATATTTCTTAACGTTTGAATATACCCCTAAAGTCCCACGGATGATCAAAATTTATTGTTTTTGGGTAAATTTAGAGTATCGAATAATGCTTATGCCAGATTTCTGAGCCATGACAGGGCAACAATGAAGTAGATGAAGTGTTGCATAAAAATGCTGGAATTACAATAGTTATAGGGATTATTGTTATCTAAGTCTGAATGCCAGTGGAGATATTTCAATTTTGACATACTTTTTTGTAGATTAACTTTCTATGGTAAAAGTTATCTATACCTCTGACATGCTGCGCTGGTTTTGACAACGCGAACTGAGCCAAACTATAGTCTTTCACCCAGCACATTTCAACAGAGCGGTCAGTAAGGCAAATTCCATAGAGAAATTCTCTTCTGATTGAATTATGTCTTGCAATTAAAGCGCTGTGGCCATAAAACTTTCGGAATGCTTAGCGCAATAATCTTAAACATAAAGCTTCTGTTAATAAAATTATCATAATATTTCTTCACTGACACCACAGTGTGCCTGAAACTAGCTGAGGGAATCACCCACGCAAATCACTGGTAAAAATGTGCTCAAATAAAAGTTAAACATTTGTATTTCCACAGCAACATTCCAACAAATACACATAACGCTATGAATGTATGGAATGGTGCTTCTAGTTATATTCGAAATGGTGGGGCTATTTTAACAATCAGAGAAAGCAAAGAACACCCAGCGCTTTATGTAAATCACCAATTCCATTTACGATTTCGTTTATTTACTTTGTCAATTGCTTGAATGAGCTGAGATACGGCGAATAGATGGAGGGGTGAATGCGGAGCTCAGAACAGTTTTTCAGAAAACCCTTTAACAGCGAGTGTTGCAAAGACCAGTTACCGCTACGCTCGATTTCATAGCATACGTCACAGGATGAAAAATAGATTTTAGGTTAAGACATTTATTTTAAGAAATTCGACGAGAACTGGTCGACCGACGGGAAGGACGAAAACCTATGCATGTTTGTTTGTTGTTGTGTGTGTGTATGTCTGGTATGGCGATGTAAATGCGTTTTTAATGAGGACGACATTGAAGAAGGACCTTAAATTTAACTTGTTCAACTACATTAAATAACCAATTGGACTTTTTCGTATGGCAAAGCGATGGCGGCAGAAGTTTCCTAAATATTTTTGCTTGGCTGAGGGGTACGAATATTGCACTTACCCAACCAGCACATGGACGCTGAAAGAAAAAGCGTTTGTTGTACTCGAATTGTCGCATTTAGAATTGCTATTGCTCCGCAAGAAGAACACGTAAACACACATCCATACAAGTAGCATGGTGTGTTTGAAATTTTGTTATCAGATGTGAAATTACATTGCCATTGAAGGCAGCAATCAATTGAGCAGCGGCGCTTTCCGGTTTAGAGACTGTTCCGTTACTGCTATTGCGCATATGTATGTTTGTATGTTTGCAGATATAGGCCGGCCGGTATTCTACGAATTGTGTGTGTGTGTGTGTGTGTGGGTGCGCGTTGGCAGTAACATCGCTTTGTCGCTAAGCAGGTGTTTCGCTTATCAAAAGTGCTCTTTATGCACACACACGCATACAGACAGGTATATGTATGTAGGTAAACAATCACTTTTATCGAAAACTTCGCAGAGTCGCAGCTGCGCTCTTTTGTTATTGCAACAATTGACAGCGAAAATAGAACTTCATCCGCTGTGCGCTTGCAACCAAAGCTAATCGAGGATATTTCGACCAAATTGTATCGTATTTAAATGGCTGCTTTATGGCTGTCTTTTTTCAATTGACCGAATATTTGATTGTCAATTGAAAGCTGAATGGCTTAATCCATATCATTTTTCAGCTTGTTGGGATTTCCCTGCTTCCGCTGGATCGTATGTGCGCATAAAAGCTGCGTTAATTTAAGCAATTCGACTGCGTGGCAAATAGTTTTTGTTTTCAAAATGTGATTATGCTGAAATCACTTTCGATTCGAACTAAAACACCTGTTGCTGTGCAAATTGATTGTTCAATAGATTGGGAAATGGACTGGCTTAGATAAATTAGAATATCAGCCGTGCGCTGAGTTACAATAAAACGCCCACATAGCCATAAAAATATAAAAATGTTAAGAGCTTATGTGTGAGCAATTGGAAAAAATGTGTAGAACACAAATTACTTAAAAAATAAACCAATACCTGAAAATTTAAAAAGCATTCATATTAAGGAACTAGCAAACGTCACTACAGCGTTGAGAACATTGCAATTTTTGTTTTATGGCCCATTTTTCATTTAGTATATGCAACTAGCATAATTCCCTTCATTCTATGACAGACTCGTATACAAACATCAAGCGCTCCGTTTTATTATTAATTCAGAAACATCGCATCTCAAGATTAGGATGGAAGTGTCCAAGTTAACGCTTTGAAATCATGAATTTACTTTAAAAAAAATCACACATCTTCACCCTATAAATTTCACACATTGAAGTCGTGTACAATAATATACTATATAAAGTACTTGAAATCATTAAAAAGTTGACAACACAAATGAAACTTATAAATTATGTAAATTATTAACAAATTATTTTAAAATTGATTGCATTTAATTTGTCGTCAATAGAAGAAGAAAAATCCAAGCAAGACAAACAAATTAAAATCTGAAACATTTGGTTCAACAAGGCGTATGAGCGACTGAATTCATAGTTATATTCGCTTTCTCGTGGCAATATAGTAATTTTGGTGGTGAGACATGATTCTTTGAAAAAGCAAGTGCAATAAAATTAAATCACATCATAGCACTGTTTAAAAATAAATTTGGGAGGTTTGAGTTAATTTTACTTTAAGGAGTTGATACATTAGATAACCTTTCGGCTATTCGGCATCGATATATTTATTAAGTTTTGCATACAAAAGCTGTATTCTTTGCCTTTGCAAAGGAAAAAAATTGCTGTGCAGAAATATTTCGCTCAAAATCGGCACTGTGGTATTACTCAATCAAAACATGACACTGACGCGCTTAGAGCAAGCAAATCCATGTAACTGCTGGGATTATATTATATAAGTGAAAAGCTTTTTAGATATGCGTTGAATAGCAGAAACTAATGATTATAAGCGAACTATTTCGAATTACTAAATTGCTAGATAATAAAGGAAATAATAATGTTGCGGGCGCTAAATAAATATTCCTTAAGAAATATTTGTAGTATTTGCATTTTATATAATGTTTGAAAGTGGTCTGAAAAATTTAATTTTTTCTCACATGCTTTTATAATGTTTTAGTAGTATTTGTGTTCATTATAAGTTGGTAGTATTTGGTGCTTAAGTATTTTTAATATTTAATTGTTTGTATCCCCAAACTGAATGTCGCTGCGGTTCACCGATTCATGCACTTCAATTTACACATGTACTTTTTATTTTATTACACACATTTGCATATTTACTATTGATTAATAAACTAATTCCACCTTCATTTACTTCATCACGTTATTTGATAATTTTTCGACGATAAGATAGTTCTGATAAGCAATTTATCGAAATGTAGCAAGCAGTAATCCTATTTGGTAGGTTGGAGTATTAAGTTTGCAACATTGGCTAATTCTAAAAAGCACTTGGAGCTATAGAAAAACTATTACACTTTATGTATGTGTATCTGTATTAACAAATTGCTCTAAGAATTTTAAACATAACATAAAAAGGTAGTACTCCAATATTACATACACAGGTATGTACATTAGAGTGGAGTGAAAACAATTTTTTTTGCTTAGCCTATGGTCAAATTTGTAGATTATAAAAAAAAAAAATTTATGGAAAACAATTTTTTTTTTAACATCTGAAGGCAGCCCACTCACTTTTGAAGTAAATTTTGTACTAAAAACTCTTCACATTTATATAAAAACTATCGAATTTGACGGTTTTTGACTCCAAATTTATTTTAACGCTTAAGGAAAGCATGTTGTCGTTTAAGACTTTTTTTTAATACTCCAATAATGACTACAAAATTTTTTTTTAAGTTGATAACATTTAATTGGCCAGAAAGAGGACTCTCCACAGCTTCTAGAACACTTATAAAAAGTTTTTTACGAAATAAAAATTTTAACTCGGAACTTTACTTTAAAAGTGAGGGCCGTCTCTAGATGTTAAAACAAAAATTTTTTTCCCAAAAGTTTCTCTTTTTTATGTAATATACAAATTTGACCTTCAGGCTAAGCAAATACAAATGTTTTTTTCGCTCACCCTAATGTACAATATATATATATGTTATTAATTGAATATTGACTTAAATTAAGCAAAAGACATCTAAAAATATAGCATGCATCTTCAAAACATAATTACTATAAAGCATTACTCTCTAGATACTAAACTTTTAAACAGTTTTATTTGAAAAATTGTCTACGATATTTTTGATTAAATTCTTACAATGAAACTAAGACAATATATGGATTAATCAGCTTTGAATCGACAATAATTATTTTCCTAATGGAAAAAAAATTCGCCAAGACGCCATCTAGCATTAATGATATTTCAGAGAATTTCTTTACTAAAACTTTTTATCAAATTTAATAATAGGTGTTTATTAGAACTGAGAAAACATTTACCGACACTCTCATTCGTTTTTGGTGTAACTAAAATTAAAAATATTAATTCGAATTCACGGAAGAAGCATTCTCTGATTAGTCTTAAGATTAAAAATGGACTTAAGAAAAAAATTTAAGTGTCGTAATTTTTATACAAAGCTCGACACTCCCCCGTAGTCTTAAGCAAAAGTTAATTGGTGTAGAAAAGCATTCGCCAACTCACCTTTGATAACCCGATGAAGCACTTTCTTTAAGCCCCTTAACCGTACAGTGTATATCCCTGTAACTGTCGTTGTTGCTGTAATTCACACTTGTTGCACTCTTTAGTTTATTGGTTCTTTGCTTTTAATTAATTTCACCGCGTTTTACCTCTAATGTGATTATAAAGCGAAGCAGATAAACTCAATTTACCGCGTAACTTAACGGGTCACAGCAAAGTAAATTCAAACTATGTAACAGTTATGTCAATGTCGCTGCTTTAGCGTTTGCTTTCACTTGCTCCGGCTGTCGTGTGTTTACTGCTGGCCGCTTCTAAGCCAACTGCGCGCTTTCACCTGTTGATCGCCGTTAAATGCCTCGAACTGCCTCGGCGGCACTTATTTATATGCGCCATCGGCAACATGGGCGCGGAAATAAGCACTTCGGGGGGGTAGGTCGCTTGACTTTGTACGCTTTTGTCATTTCAAAAACAAACAATAACCCGTTTTTATATAGAAATATGTGAGGTTGAGAAAATTCAAAATGTTTCACAAAACTCCTGGAAGGCACATGAAAAGATTTGCCGGCCACAAAAACCCTCCAAAGCGCTGTGCCACTGCTTACCACCAACAACATGCAACACGCACATGACCAAGCAATGCCGAAGGAGTTTCCGAAGTATGTCGCCGCTTCGCAACTGTAACTGGCTTCCGAGCGACGACTATCACGGCGATAAACGAACGTACGAGTGCCAGCAAAAGCGGAAGTATACACATACATGATTGCACGCACAACGGCTTGTCAGTTGTGTGGGGCGCCACCACTCACACGCACACGCACACACACGTACTTTTAAGACAGGATGCATGGCACACTCAATTAGTTGGAGACTTTGTTTTTGCTACACACACTCCCACACATATATACAGGCGGTTGAAGCGGAGTGTTCTGCAGAAGGAAGTGCCGAACAGTGTTGCCCATGTGCCTACGCTTTTGTTTCACTTAACCGCAAAATATGATGGCAATTGTGAAATTTGTGTGCGCACGGATTTGCCGTTACCCCTTGCAGGTGTCATTCGGCCCGCATAGACAATTAAGACATTTGATACATTTGATAAATTGCTCCAAGTTGGCAATGGCAGAAATTTATTTTTATTATTACGGCCGTGGTATTTATCTAAGTGTTTGGTTATTTGGTTATTGCCAGAGCTTAGGCAGATTCCAGTGGCCATTTTGTGGTTCGGTTTTTAATTAAACGAGAACAACAGGTTGAGCTTTTGTTGGCATTGCAATTTATTATTTTTCCCATTTGCAATTTTTGCACTTAGTTGCAATTGGAGCCATGAAAATTTGCATTGATTCTGCATAAATCGGCATGCAAACAATAACGGTAAAGATACTGGTAATGATGGATTGCTTCAATTATTGGGTAAAAAATATTAGTTTAAACACTTGAACACCTAATTATGGGTTTATTGAGTAAGATGAGAAGGAAAGTCGAACTGGTTATTTTCCAGTAGGCTTTAAAAAATCATTAAAAAATCTTTACGAAATTAAGAAAACTTTTACAACCCCAGCATTATACCCAATTTTATTTTGTGGTTCTCAAAAACATTTATTTAATTTTATTTAATGTATTTATTTTGTTATTTCTAAGTAATTTGTGTAAGAAATATTTGAAACTTTTATTCTCTCTCAATAAGAGACACAAGAGTTAAAACAGTTATGCTCACGTAATGGTTAAAAATGGTATTGCGCACCTTATATCTGTCTGATTAAGACACTTCGATGAAATTTGGGCGACATGTTTCTTGGTATAGTGCAGAGTCTGCGAAAGTGGTCGTTCAAAAAGCGCGTCTTACGCAAATACATAAAGCAATGTAACTCTGTAACTAATTTAGTTCACTTGACATAAAAGAGCGCCGAGAGTAGAACTATATAAGTAGTAAAACTGGAAATGTAAGATCCTGGTCTATATAGGTATATGTTCCAAACTGCGTGAGAACAATACATTTAAATAATACTTGGATGTTAAGGGGGTTATATTTAGAGGTATAGAAATTTTATTTTAAACGAAATATAGAAAAATAAAAACGCCAACGAATATTCTCTCAATCTCATCTGCAGCACTTTTTTAGAATACCCTATCTTATCATTTGAAAAGCGCGGCGAATGTTAGTAGCCAACTGGTCAATCGTAGCAGGTTTATTAGCACAGACACTTGAGTTGACGTATTCATATAAAAAGTGATCTAACGGGGTCTAATACTGTATCATTTCTTGACATGATTCATTCACCAAAAGTTCGTATTATTAAAGTTATGGATAAAGCTCATTTTGGTTTGCTACTGAAACATCTTCTAATTTATATACGCTTAACTTCGACAGGTTTGACAGCTATGCCACTAGAAAATTCAATATATTTAAAAAAGCATCGGTTATAAGGCAAATTTTTTCCCCAAACTGGACACAATCCGCACATAATTTTGTCTTATAAGGAATACTAATGTTTAAAGTCATCTTTTTTGCTGACCCAGGATTGGGTAAGAAAGACAATACAATCGCCCCACCAAAGTTTCATCTTCTCGGAAAAGAATATGTAAAATTATAAACCATATAGAGTTCCATAACAATCTCAAGTGCCATAAAAATCTATTACTTAAGTGCAATATCCATCTGCAACTTGCAACACTCACACAGCTAGACATTAACCCAATGCAATCGCACAAAACAATTGAGTAAGTGGTCATTTGCGTCATATATGTATGTCTTAATACCTTCTCCATCTGCTCTTTCAGACGAATCTAGCCCACACTGCACACACACAAAAGAGAAACATGCGTGTGGCACTTGCATTGGATAATGTCCCGAAGGCATTAGCCGAGAGTAATCTGCCGTGCAATATGGACACAACACAGTAATTTCTGCATGTACATATGTATGAGTGTGTCTAAAAAGTTCATAACTGGAAAAATTCATGTTGTCTCGATATTATGTCTTCAAGGTCTCCTTGTTGCAACGGTAATTGCAACACCTAATTACACATCTTGGTGTGTTAATGCTTCTTGATTGCAATGCATACAGATTGAAACGCAAACTTAAATATAAATGTAAGTGTAAAGATGTAAATGTGTGCATGTGTAGGTGTGGCGCTAATTCTGATACAGAATTTGAGTTTGTTTAACAGAAGAGTTGTTTAATCTTCTCCGACTGCCGATGCATACGATACTGCTAATATATAGAAGAACTGAGGAATGAGTTAAGAATCGATTTGGAGAGTAAAAAGTCCTCGGCAGAAAACATGAGACACTGAGGAACACTTAACGGCAAGGTTTTGAAGGTGTATGTTAATGAATAGAAGTGAAACTGAGTATTCTTCAGCGCACTGCTAACTTTTAGTTTTCGGAAAGACTAGACGTTTCGCTTGGATTGCTTACTCACATCTTAGTGCTCTAATAACGACTTGTATTCAAGTATGATTTAAATCCTTATAATTGGAGAAAAACTCATCAAAAGACTTGGGCTAGGCCGGGTCTTAAGCAACAAGAAGGAACTTTGTTGGAGACCTGGAGACCTGTTCCTTCTCATTCTGTGTAGTTTTACAGGAAGATATAATAATTTAGGTTTGATTAGGACCACCTCTACACTTCTATTCAAAACTATAAGTGGGTAAGAGGACCAAAACTTAGTATTGCACAGAGCACTCAGGCATTACTGCAGAAAACAAGTGAGACTCCTCCATTAAAATGTCTGCAAGCCATGTCAAGAAGCAACAAATAGACTGCTAACGACCGGCTGAATATCAATTTGGAGCTCGGCCAAGTAGGTATCGGGGTAAAGTAGCGGCAGATAAATTGATCCTAATCAATGCAGCATTTATATATTAGATCACCCTGAACGCAGAACGTAGGAAGTATGATAAAAAATAGAATCTATCTATATATATATAAATAAAAACCGTTTCCCGTTGTCACACCATAACCTGAGAACGGCTAGACCGATTTGGCTGGTTTAAAAAATATTAAGAAAATGTCTCAGAAAGATTGAAAAAATGCATTTAATTTTGCATATTTTAAAAAGGCGACATCAAAGCTACGCTATGGCGGTACGAAGTTCGCCGGGTCAGCTAGTAGTTAATAATATCATAGGTAATCATATTTGATTTTTCTTCCATAGAACCGGCAGAGTCTTGGCAAATAGTGAGGCTCCGCTCGTGTTCAGAATTCAGTCGATTTTTGCAAAATGGAATTTGTCTATATTTTATATTTCCTTGTACAATTCTAAAGTAATATATTTCGTCTACTTGTATTCACCCTTATAGACACATACATACAAATATTTGTTCGTTAAAATTTCATTTGCTTTCAAATCAATCTGCCACCTGAAATTCAATAACCATGTGTCTAATATTGAAATAACCAACTTGACTGATTTATTCTTTGTAATTTTTCTCTCTTCCATTATCATTTTACACGAACCTTACCTTTGTGTATGTGTGTTGTATTTGTACTTTTTATTTGCAAAAGCGATTTGATCCACGATGAATATTCATGACGGCATCGAAGCATATTTTTAACACACCAGAAGTCCTTTCAAGACCCCGCCCACTACCGCCTTGCCGCTGTCATATGTTCCACAACTTCGTCCTCACCTTCCTCCCCAGCTGGGCATTGGCGTTGCGTGTGCCTGGTTGTTTGGGATATTTACAAATTGCGTTTTATTGGAATAGTGACAACGCATCTTAGCATTGTTGACGAATGTGCTGCTCTTAGCCGACCCTTTCTCCTCTCTCCTTCGCTTTGCCGTGTACTCGCTGGGCAAGTGTGTGCGTGTGTCAAAGTTGCTCTGGACAAAACTGGTGGCGTAATTGTTAATGGCTTAAATCGCAAACTGAGTGATGTCGTGTTTTTATGGATGTGTGTGTGTAGGCGTGGGCAAAGGTCTAAGCAACTTTTATCTGCAACAATGACGTGCCAAACCCATAACTTAGGCATTAAGAAGAATGCAACACTGCTTTTTTTTTCTTTTTTTAGCAAACATTTATTAGAGAAGCAGCTTTTTCGCAGATTTTCCTAAAATTTTTAAATCTCCTTACTCAACCTCCTTTCCTATTAACTTGATTATGCACTTTTTCTTCACACCGCTGCTCTTGCAGACAATGGGAAAATTTATGCCATCACTGCTTGCTTATTTAATGAATTGGTTTTCTGCATACACTTAACCTGGCAGGGCTAGCCACCGTTTTTGAGTTCGCTAATTCGATAAGAATCTCTGGCAACTGGGCCTGATTGATGGTGAATGAATAGAGATTCCGTTATAACACATTACTCGCATATGCTCCCACGTGATATGCTTACTGCTGTTTATGTATTTTATTGCATACAGCAGCATTAATAGTATGACGTCACATCTGGTGATAAGGCGGTGAATAAAAGAGCACAAAAAATTTGGAAGAGTGTTTGTACATACATAAAAAATAATGCATATTTGGAAATACTTATGATTTGAGCTGCCGGGTATAAAGTGGAAGGCTATGCGACAGCCAGCTCTCCAATATCCGTTCAGAGACCTCTGCTCTCTTTTCATCCTCGAGTACTTCCAAAAACATTAACAAAGCAAAAATCACGTATGTTAATAAGATTTTCTCAAAGCTGGGTCGAACTAAGCCAAATACCTTAAAATCTTCAATACCGCGCTTCTCAATACTCTTCTCATACCAGGTAAAATGGAGCAGATATGTTTGAAGGCAATTTCTTTCAAAACAATCGTTCTATTGCAAAAGTGAACATCTCAGCCAATCGAGTTATTAAGGGCCAAGATAGGGCCTTACAAGTATACACGCCAGACCTCTCAGACTTTTGGATTGCACAAAACTATTTCCTACCCATATGACAACTGGTCATACTACCTAAGCAGTTCAAAGGTCCAAAGGCCCTATATGCAATTTTCTCATCTAAAAAATAGTTGTCACATAATCCGGTCAATGAGTTTGCCGAGGATGAAAAAATTAGTGGAAAATGGAGACTGTTTTAGTAGCTAAATTTTAGTAATTTTAGTCACCCTTTTTAGAACCTTTATTCAGCGAAGATCGTTTCATTTGCTTTCAAATTAGCTTTATCCTTCAGTGAAATTGAAATGGCATTAATCGAAGCTCGAAGTAGGACCGCATGGTCATCAGTCCTATGCACTTCCCATTCCGTTCTACTCTCATTTTGCTCCAGAGAGCGACAATCATTTCAGTTTAACCTCTAATTCACTTTGAAATTTAAGTCAGAAAATCCCATAATCTCTTGATCGACATCGCCATGCATTGACATAGACTAAACTGTGTGGCGAGAAATTGATTCATGATTGCTAAGTAGTGTTAGCCCCACAGTCCCACATGTTCGCAAAACAAAGAAATATTAAAAATTATTATAGCCATTGAAGGAGCTGCGAAACAGCAAGCGAGCTTGCGTAAGTGCGGTTAGCAGCGGCTGGAGGAAGGAACAAAACAAAGCAAATTTTCTCCATTATGAAATGCGCTGACAGTCAACGAGCTGCGGAATCAGCAATATTATGACCCCAAGCACTCCTTTGGAGCCCCACATGCTCTTCCACTACACACATCTTGCCATTACATAATAATCTGCATTCTCTATTCCATTGGCTGGCAATTATTCTGTTTGTTTGCCTTCAGCGTTATTGAAAAATTCCAGCGAGTGTGACAAGCACACATACACCCAGAGCGAGGCTACGTCGCTTCATGCATTCAATGCAAGCGCTTAGCCTTAAAAATGCATTCTCTGACATTGAAAGCCTTGTCGCACTGTTTATATTTTGTGAATATATGCTTTTATGTCTTCATCGGGCGTTTTGCATAAGCTTCGCCTCCGTCGCGGGCCTGTAGCGTTGGTCTACTTAAGCCTTGTAGTCATCATCGCCAAGGCGTTGCTTGGCATTGTCGAGCATCTTTCTTCAGTTGTCAACAGCTGCCACAATTTCTATTTGGTAAGTTGCAAGGATGAACTCGCAATCGCCATTCAAATATATCGCGTGGTTAAGGGGAGAGTGAAACAAGTTAGCACTTGGATATGCAGGCATATACTTGTATGAATGTATCGGTGCGAGTTTTTTTTAGATGATTGTATTTGTTTTCTATCACAATCGTAAGCCCTGACTGTCGATGCTGATTCGTTTTTAATCTCAATCCTGATTAAATATTAGATCTTAGTTAACTGAGGCTTTGAAATTTATTGAAGAGTGCCATCACCCAGGTGATTAAAGACGGCTACCATTCGCTAAGTGACATATGTATGTATCTTGGACGTTACTTAAGCTAAATTCTAATTGTAAAAAGTATATTTACTTTAGATTTTGAGGCGGTTTGCAAAAGAAAACCAGTGGTTTAAATAAATATAAGAAATAATCACAACATTTCTCAAGAAGTTTGATTCGCCACATTTCCTCATTCAAAAAATAATTTTCCCCTTCCTTATTTTAAATGGATTCATATCAACCTCATGTGGACAATTTATGAATTTGACTCAAATTAAAACGAACAAAATTTTGGAAGGAGGATAGAAGTTCTTAGGATCTTGTTTTACTCGCACTTTCCGGTTGAACAACTAGCTTAGCTAGCTTTTGAATACAAAACAATGGCAATTATCCGGGTGTCCTCCAGCCGTACATCGACTTAATACTTGTTGAATTGTCTAGCTCAGTTCTCCATTAACACGTACGGTGCAAAAACGGATTGAAGTTTGGACAAACATCTATATACCTACTCGTATCTACATATGTCAGAAACAAAACGTTTTCTTATGAAACTAAGTAAGCGTCTAAAAATAAGAGCTGGCTTTTAAGATTTTAAAATGAGTAATATAAATTATTAGTTATTTACGGGCAGTCACTTAATTACTCAAACGACGAACCAAAAAAGAGAGTAAGAGGTGAAATATTCAACTCCCAGTAGGTCTTACTCCTGTATTTATGCAATCTCAATGAATCCAGTAAGACTCACTTAAGTCCTCCTCCTTCAAAATCGAGTTAAGCTAAATTCACCGGCAGGTGAAATAATATAAATTCGGTGGTGGAGACTATTCCACTTCCACAAATTACCTAAAAATATTTAATCTATGAGACTATTGTAGTAAATCTGTCTACTAGTAAACAACAATATTGTCATGCGAAATTCAACGCAGAAGCGATAACGTCCTACCGACAAGTGTACACCGTGTTTAACATATAAATGATGCGTTTTAGTGGCAATAAATTAACATAACTGATAAGCACTGATAATTTGGTGAAGGCTCCTAAATGATGTGTAATCAGACTGCTTTATTTGGATCAAAACTTTTCGTGAATATAGTGAATATATTCTCATAATTTGTGTTATGGAAATTATACATACATATATACATAGTTAGTTGCAATTGAATGATGTTGCGATTACTTTTGTCGCTGCTGAGGGGCGAACATTGTACGCTGCTTGAAACGACAGGTGCTTTAGAGGTTAGGGTGATTAGTTAGTTAGGCACCGTTTGAGAGCGTGGACATTCAGCCAAGCATTCAAATGTCTAATTGGTGTACGAACATTCTCTTGAATAATTTAGGTCTGAATTCTGTGGTGAGGAAGCACGCAGAAAACACATCCATTAGTTAAAGGAGGTGTAGCTCGAGGACTGTGCTCTAGACAAACACGAAGTAGAAACTCTGAACAACAGAACCATAATTGCTTCAGAAGCTCTCTACCCTAAGAGCAAAGACCAGTGAATCGCGAGAAAAGGATACATTTACAGTACAAAATCAAAAGAGAAGCTCGGCCTATATCCGCTAGTGCTGCAAGCGCCCTTTGGGACACTCGCAGTAACGAATATGATATAATTATAGTACATTAGGAGAACAAAACCTCATAATCGCGACGATGAAATTGGAATCAGGAAATGTTAAGGGGTTACAAACAGCTCACTGGTTACAAAATGTATGGCTTATGAGCTTTTCCAATGAGCTTTTTAATGGCAATATAAAAGATTGAAGGGGCTTAGGGAACTAGTGAACGTGGAATTATATTAATGGAATTGACGATCTAAATGTTTTTAGTATTTTATTTTGAAGGCTATGATACGGATAGTTAGTATAATAAACGAGATTGATTGAGATACAATAATATATTATAATTTGTTGCTGAAAGAAAAAGTATTCTCACTTTAATAAAAATAGTTCGTCCAATTCCAACAGCAACCGATTCCACACTATCGAAAATTAACTCGAGTGTCAATTCTCTTCAAATAGGTAAATTTTTATGATGCAGTGGTTGGGAGCGATAATTTTATAATATGAGTACCTCAAAATTCACTTATGAGATAATGTCGTCGAGCTCTGTAATTCGTCGCAGGTGTCCGAGACAGCTATACCTTTGAGCGTTCACCCTTCCTACTGTTGTGTGTATTTCATATAGCAACTCCATTATGACCAAGATACAGTACCGATAATATTTGTGATCTTGAGAAAAAACAAAGACACATTTTTTAAAAGCAATATATAGTTCACCGGTTACAATTTATGCCGATATGGTAAATATGTTTACGAATCAGACCAGGCATAGCTCTGTATTTGGTACAATGAAAGGGTGACTTTTGATGTCTCTTGAGCATCGTATATCTACCATATATATCAGCATCCAAAGGCATATAACGAGATTTTCTAGAAGCGGTGTGCTTTTTCACTTCCGGTATTTGTTTAAAAACACCATTTTATGCCAAGAAAGTGCACGAGTTGCATCGATAACCACCTCCCACTTTCATTATCTCCAATCCCGTTTAAGTCACTAGTATGGTTTGTGTTCCCTTATACTAATTATAGCCGGAAGTTTTAGTCAAGTTTGCCACGAAGTTTGTAACACCCATAAGGAAACGTCAATATCACATACAATATTTATATACCTATATATTTAAGTGATCAGCGTGATGAGCTGAGTTGATTTAGCCATATCCGTCTGTTTGTCTGTTAACGCGAACTAGTCCCTCAGTTTTTGATTTGACAATATATCTTCACGAAATTGTCAAGTCAACCGTAAAATCATCGAACAAATTGTTCAGATGTTCAATAGTATATAGGTGATATACAAACTGACCGACCAAAATCATGTTCTTGCATTAAATTTTTTATTTGTGAAGGATATTATATTGTAGCTTCACTGCAGCCGAAAATATTTTTATTCATCCATTTATAATTCACATAAGAATTCGGATACATGACTTAAAAGCAAAGTCTTGAAATTACTTATGTGAGTTAGTATTAATTTATATTTATTTTAAATGTTATCAATTGTTCCCGCCCGGAAACAAAATTTTTATCGAGCTCCCTGTTTTTTTTAGTTTACAAAATGTTCGTGACGAGCAATTCGTCACCACAATTATGTTTGTTCGCGAAGATATTATTGCTTGCTTAGTCTGCGGTACGTGACTGTCACTCTCCGCTTTACAACACTGTTTTTTCAGACAGCTGTTTTCAGTTTCTTGTATGCGGTGTATTAGAATAATTTGTGAATTATAGCAGACTGTAAATAATGCAAATAAAATAGTAAATTTGTTAAAATACAACGAATACAAACAAGAAATGGATGTAATTTTACCTTACAATGCGCAAAACCGTGAGCATTTCTGCAGTTCTGCTCTACAAGTTGGGTTCCATGAATTCGTTGCGGTAAGCATTGGCTATATATTTCTATTTATTTCTACGAAAGTTGATCTGTTTCTATTGTTTATTTTAGTTGAAATTCTTCTACACCATGAAGGATTCCGACTTGGACGTGTTCCAGTTAATGGCACGTGAACGCTTGGAGCTAGTACTATACGGCTGGGAAGTGTGCCAAGGACATTGGGATGAATTGACAAACAAGGAAGAAATATCACCTCACTTATGTACGGTTCTAAAACAAATTACACAATACTCTCTAGATATATGGTTCAGCAATGAATGGGAAGAATGCAAACCACAATACAAGGCAATGCTTTTAGTGTGTATTAGACGGGCCAAAGATATCTTGATGAAGTTGTATGGAAATGTCTTTGACTGGGACTACGCGTTGCAATTAAGGATCAAACCTTGGGGCATACCATATCTGAAACAGTTTATAGCGTGTAATAGCAACCTCATAAGAAGTTTGACTTACTCTAGTGAGCATGTAGAAGCACCAGCTGCTGCCGAAGGTGATGAAATCTGCTTCTTTTTGTGTATTTTGTAATAATGTTAATAATTTTGTACACACAGATATCGAACATTTGAAAAAGGAAGGTTTGGTTTTGCTGTTATTACGGCTCATTAAGCTCTTTGACGCCGGATTTTTCGAAGGTGCTCGTAAATTATCAATGCGCATTATTGCCGCTTGGAATCATGATTATGAGGAGATGAAGCTTCTATCTCAACAGTCCTACCCAGAAATAAGGGATCAACACAAAAAGTGTTTAATTCTTATTTGCCATATTTATCTCATGGCCATATATGAAATGGATGACAATCGTGGTTTCGTTATTGATAATGTGGTAAGTATAACAGTAAATGAAAAATGAAATCCTCTGGTATACAATCCACATTTTTTTCAGGTGAATAACATACGATTTTACTACCAAAATATGACGGAAGTAAGGAGCGTTAACAAAAATCCCGAAGAACAAATGGAGTACACACCCGCCCGTTACATAGCCATAACCTGTATTAATCTAAATATAAGCAGTAATGAGTTCATTGACGCCTTCATATACGACTCGTACGATGAAAACTTTGTGAGCCTATTTGGCGTCATATCACAATCGTACATGAGCTATCTGCTCGGCAATTTATTAATGGAAATGAATAAATTGAACGAGGACGATTTCGGCAAGCGCATTAATGATTTCAAACGCGTGATGCATCTATACATCAATGAAAGAGAACGCAGTGAAGAATTCATGATGCAGGAATTGCACAAAAAAGAAATGAAACGTCGAAGCCACAGTTTGTCCGCAACAAAGGAAAATATGACGGATTTCTGCACGAAAATGTGTAAAGGTAATCGATTAAGTAATATAGGCAGTAGTGAACATATGGAGGATGGTCAGCAAGCAGTTACCACTTTGGAAGCGGAAAGCGATCGGCTTGTAGATTCTGTTTTCCAGCACCTGCCCAATAATGAGGAAGTTCTTAACTATGTTTACACGGTGCTGGTGAAGAGGGTAAGCCCTTACTAGCTTGATATGGTATTTACGCAATCACTTATTGTATCTTATTTTAACTTTTAGACACACAAAGGCTGGTATTTCGCCAAGCTGATAGTGCTTCTAAAAATCATTGGTTTGCAGTTGAACGCCATCGAAACTTGGCGGTACCATCCAGGACTAACACCCGAGTTTTTGCTGAATCTCGAAGTGAAGCTCTCGCGGCTCTTTGAAGATCTGGCCATTATATTCCAAGATCATCTATTTATGGAACAGGAATTTTGGTTAACTGGTTTCTATTTGAATCCATGTAAGAAGTACTATGAAACCGTTATACGTAGTGGTATGCGTTCGAATCGACTTAGTCATCGCTTCGAAACTGTCGAAAATTATGACGAAGAGGAGAAATATGAGGGAAAAAGAGATCGCCGCGAAAAAGGTGACAGGGGCGAAAAGGTGAACGCCATAAACGCTAAGTACGGACTGCTTAGTTCGACGATCGATGTGAAGGAAATATTAAAACTGGCCAATCATGAAGCGCCCGACTTTGATTATGGACCACTGTATAAAGCATTGCGTGCCTTCAAATTGCCAGACAACACCATTAAGGATCTTCTGACCGTCATCTTCTTGCCGCGAAACAAAAGTTTCGCCTGGGCTCTCGACTGGGTGGAATTGAGGAAACGTTGCAAAACTTTACTCAAAGACGCCGACAAAAAGCGCCACTTTGTGGAGCTAAACATGGCTGAGGCAAACGATCGGCTAAAATTTTTAAAAATTGACTATGAAAAATACAAACACCGACCGCAGCTGGATTATGGCAGCATCGAGCAGGGCTACGAGAACTCGAATGCACCTAATTTCAATAAGGACAGCAGCGATGACAACGATGACGAGGACTCGGAGGACTTCGAAGCGGACTCTGACCTGGATGAGCCGGCTAAACATGAACGTAAGTTGCTCTCGACCGACATACACGCATAATTTCACTGTTAACAATTTCCTTTTCGACTATAGCGAAGAAAAACGATCACTCAGAACTTTTCGACTCGTACTTCATGAGCACACGTCGCACCAGAGCCCGCGCTGCTGCTATGATCGCGAATGTCCTGGAAAAGGATGATTTTACCACCAGCGCAGATGAAGTCAAGAATACAAACGAAACCGCAGTGGAGGAGAAAAAAGAAGCTTGTGGTGAAAAAGACGACGCCCCCACCGGCTCAACAACTGCAGCAAATGAATCTAAGCGAGACTTCAATGAAATTTTAAAAGAACGCAAGTTATTCGATAATAGTACCAGCGGCTTCAGACCCTTTGCGGATATATGGAGCCTAAATTCCCAGGAATTAAAAACCGTTGAGAATAGAGTACTACATTTGGAGACTGGTAACCTGTACAGCAAGTCGACCGAATTAGAAATGCTGAAAATGAAGACGGCCAAACTACTTTACCAACAGCGAAAAAGGTATAAAATGGTCGAGGCCATCAAAAATGAGGGGGCTGCTAGTAATTTGGACTTGGGAGAGAACAAAAAGACTGACGGAAGACTAAAAGAAAGCACACAGAAAGCAGAGGCGTTTAAGTGCAAACAAGAATGCACCACCGATGTTGAAATGGTTGTGCCTTTAAATATTTAATTAAGCATTCTAATTATACTAATTTCTCTACAATTTTGCAGCTCGATGACGAAAGCGACGTCTCTACAACTGCCCGTCGGGACAGTGACGAAGTTAATGACTTCAGCAAAGATGAGCAAGGGGAGGATGAAAAAGACTCTCAAAATCTCATAAAAGCGAATGAGCGGGTGTTGGCGCCTGTGGAGAGAACAGCGCAAGAAGATAATCTTATTCAGCTTTGCATGAAGAAGAAATTGTGTGTTCGTTTGCGCAGACTCACAGTCGCCGATGTGCGAAAACTACGACAACCCAGCGTACGTTTGCAGCGCATGGATTTGCAAGCAGTGGCCGATCGAATGTGCAAGCAGCGACGTGCACAACGAAGAGGTTAGCTCTATAGACTTACAACACTTCTCTTTTTTATATTCTAAATGAACTTGATTCACTTACAGCGACCTACATTGAGTCGGATGAAACCTCAAAGTCGAGCAGCAATTCTTTTGGAGCTGAGCGCACCTTATTGGACACACTTAAGCGTCGCCTGTACTCATCAGAGTCATCCACCGATTCGGATGAGTATAAACAGAAACGACGCGTAGCTCGTCCAATGCGTGGCAGATTTGGCAGCTCGTCGATGCATGCAAGAGTTCAGCGTGCGCAATCGAAGAGCTTGAAAGTAACACCACGCAGCGCCAGTGGTTTGAAGTTTCGCATCTCCACCAATGAAACAAGTGGTGGCAGTGTGGCCACTACTGTAAACGCCACCAGCTTGCCCATTATCGATTATATACAAATATCATCCTCATCGTCGTCGGATGAAGTGGAACGCTTTGGCTCATTGCAGACCGTACGAGAGGAAGTTGACATAACTGCGGACCCATTATATGAGGAGGAAATACCACTATACAGGATTTAGTTTAAGTCGGTGAAGCGATTTTAGTACATAAGTTTTATTTATGAATGCAAGAGAAATATAATTTTACAGTATTTACGTTTAAGAGGATTTGGTTTGCAGAATTTACAATTTTAACTCATTGTTAAATTTAACGCGCAAAAATATTTTCCTTTACATACCATGTATGATCTTTTCAACTTTTTAAGGGGCACACCCAGTGTGATCGTCTAGAAGAAAGGTGTTTTTTTTTTTTGTAATTTAAATAAAACTACTGTAAGGTATATTAAAATTTTGAGAATAAATGTATTTACTCACAACTAGTGAATATATACATAAATTGAAAAAAAATATATAAAAATAAAGCTTCTAAACGTATGCAGTAATTGCGGCCCTCACCGTGTTTGAAAGCAAAAAAATTAAAAATATAATTCTGTAAGATATTCCGAACTCGATGACCTCCGATTGTTAGAATAAAAACATTTAAGTTTAACAAAATGGCAGACTGAAAAAAATGGAGATTTTTGTTCAAAAATTAATTGAGTTTTTAGCCCGCTAAAATTGAATTTTTCAGAAATTGGCAAGTCATTGTACGCAGAAATATATAAAAAAAAAATAAAGTTATAAATCAAAAATATGTGAAATATTAATTTAATTTTAGTATGTTATTTTAAAGGTACATATATACTGTCGAAATATGCTAAATCAACAAAATTTAGTTTTTAAAACTTCACACTAGGCTTGTCCCTTAAAATAAACACATGCATCACGTACATACATACATACTTATGTATGTCGCGCTCTTAGTTCATTGTGCATCGAGAACGCACTGACATTTTTCGCCAATATATTTTATGAATTATTTCTTTTGTTTTGAAAAGGGGTCTGCAGACAGCAGATTATAAAAGTTAATAAAAGCATGAACCTTCTTTTATCTAACAATTTAAAATTTAACAGTAATAGAAGCGCGATTTCTAATAGTACAAATAGCGTAGATCGAAGAAAGACCCGGTTTCAATGCGCCTTAGTCCACCGTTATGACGTTGACAGAAAGCAATAATTTCAATATATTATACAACGTGAAAAAATGTTTGAATCGGAAATTATAGGTTAAGCTATGAAGCTCTACTTGTGATTTCATTCCACCAATGGAATTCTTTTCGTATCGGAGAGAGCAAATATTCGCCAAATTATATAGAGGAATGCTGCCGCGTTGACATTCTTGGCTTAATTAAAATCAGAGTACGTTCCGACTACGTAGATCCACAGTCGTAGGTACGATGCAAGTGGGTGGCAGTGCTGGAATGCCTGGAAGAGCCAAAAAAATTCCCGTTGAACACTTTTGACAAGAACAACAAATACTCTCCATACACAAAAACACTTCAAACTCTCAAAACTACGGGCGAGCAGGTGGCATACTAATGTAGAGCCGAAAGGGTCTAACCACTTTAAGAATAGCGGAAAGGACCTCTGCAAGATGATACTAAACTTATATCTGCAAAATATAAGTATCTTGCTTTTAACGTCAAATTCACACAACTACCGAGGCATTTATTTTTTAATAAAACATATTTTTTAAAAAATATTGAGCTCATTTTACGACAAGCGTTAATAAATTTTTTTTTAAATAGGGTTAGTGGTGGACTAGGGACGAAGTCAAGAAGAGGGACGAATTCAAGAGTTGAGACTCGAAAGACTTGGAAATGAAGGCGATATAGTGTTCTAAGCATGCGCTCTTAAAAAATATCAGCACAATAGAGTTGGAACACTGGAAAAGGCCAAAGGCAAAGAACTTCATGATTATGTATGTACATATATATGTATGTACGAATGGTGTTTGCGGAGATCTTAACCCTTAATTTGATTTGTGCTCATTGAGATAATTTGCATTAATTTCGCTTTAATTGTGCACCACCGTTAATGGAGAGCAGTGAAAAAACCTGTTCGAATTCTGGCGTCTACTAGTATATATGTATGTGTGCGCGCGCGTGTGTAAATATTGCATGCGGCGTGGATATTATTTACTTATGAACAGTTATGTAGAAAATATTTACCAATGGCCTACGGGCCTAACTCAAATAATTTATACATTGCGTTTTTTATTTAAACAAATCAAACATTGCTCCGTCAAACCTGGACGTATTCGAGTGTGTGAGTGCTTGTACGCTGGTATGAACACTAGTTGCCTCGAGCTAATTGCGTTCTAACAAGCGGCGTAAATTCAATTCGTAACGCTCCTTATGCTTGCCCGCACTACCCTCGAGGCCCACACACACACGCACACATACAATATGTGTATCAGTGGGATTGTGTACATTGAAATTCATCGACAGCATCGACGACCTTTGCAGCGGCAACACCACCAGCTTCCCCGCTCCGTCTGCGTGAAAGTTAGTGTTGTAATTTGAGATTTTACTGCAATTCGACGGCATTGTGTTGAAAGAATTCCCACCCCGATTCGTCGCGCTGCACTGTCGTTGAATGGAAAATGTGTAAATCGTTTTTATTTGACTGCACCTGGAATTCGATTTGGCTTTTGTGCGTGTTTTTCGGTGGACACTCGAATTTGACGCACTCACACATTCGAATTTAATGGAAAGTGTGGCAAATCTCGTAAATTGGGAAGAAAGCGAGGACTACCTAAAACTCGTCTGGTGGGTAGTTATAATAAAATTATGCTCGTAATTAAAACAAACAAAAATAAAAGCCAATTTTACGAATCGAGTTGGACGCACGAGTCGTTTTCAGATAAAACCATTTTGTAGCTAGATTATAGCACCACCGTCGATCATTCCGTTCTCATTGGCCACGTTTAAGACTCCTTCTTTATAGATCCAACCAAACGGTGGACCAACATTGCGGAGTTCGTCGAATTTCGAATCGCTTCATCTGTCCACATAATCCGTGTTTATTCCGGTTTCGGTATCTGCACTGTAAAAGAAACGATGCTTTCCGAAGGCTCTATTTATATATTACAGTATACAATGAATCATGTTAGAGGGGGTACAGATACCAGGACAATGTGGGCAAAGTTCTTCAAATGATTTTATGAAGTCAACAAAACAAAAACCAATTTTGAAATAATTGTCTTTACATATGAGCTGAGTCTTTGCAAGTTCCTAGTCTACGCTTACTCTTTTAGTACTACTCCGGGCAGTTGATTTTTTAAAGTTCCTTACACTCATGGCAAAGGTTTGCTACATTGACTAATTTCCTTTCTTTCTGTACCCATTGCAGCCAACTCAGTGCAGCGTTCGAGAATTCTTCAAATTGTGACCCAACCAATACCTGGACATTCGGGCGATATTGTTTACCCACATCAAGATTATAACCTTTAGACATTGACTGCCGGTAAAGGAGAGCCACTAAGTAAACAGACAAAACAATAAGTTTGAAAATCTGCACACAAACCAACAAACACATACATATGTACATAATGCATAATTATCCAGCGAGAAAAGTACATTTCAAATCTGCTGGAACATCAATAACGAAAACAAAGCAACAATGCAGGCGCGCAATGTGCATTCGCTGGAACCCCCGCTTTGGGATTATCATTTGGCTGTGCTGTCAAAAAGCACACACACACACATAAACATCGTATCTACATTTGTAAGTGCACATATCCATGTGTATTTATCTAGATATCTACATATATTTGCCAGCGAATTTCGAAGGTCCATGTAGTATTTGGCCCATCCATCACACCCAATCATTCTATGCTGCATGGCTGTGCATTTGCGTGTGTGTTGGTGCTAAGCAAATATGTAGAAAAAATGCATAGAAGACTCGTCTAAAGTAAATAGAATTCTATACCCCAGGAAGTTCTGCTTTTTTTCATTCGTTTGACCAGTTCAGCAGCCGTCGCTTCGTCGATTAGGCTGCAAAATTTTATGACACCCTAACGCCATGGCATTGTCAAGGACAATGAGCGAAATGAATTTTAATGTGATCGACACATTGCCCGCAATTTGCACAGTGGCAAACAGGCAAACACGACGGCTCCATTCGATGGAAGGATACTATTACATACAAACGCATATTTATATCGACATTAATTTTAGTCAAATCAGAAAGGCACACAACATTAACAGCGAATTCTCCACACCTATTGTGGAAAAATGAGAGTGGAACCAATCTTTCATACAAAATTTGGTAAAATTATTTCTTATTAATACTATTATTAAATATTCCCATTTGCTTCCAATATCATATTTCGGTCAGTATCACTTCGTTAGTTAAATACTGGAATACAGAATACAAATACATTTGGTTGTCTATGAATTGTTATGTCTTGGTTTGTCTTTTCCAAGTTTCCAAGTTAGAGAACGTTTATTTAACAAATACTTGTAAAGGTCCCGACTTCTTTCGAAGTTAGCTTAACCGCACTTTAGACAACAGCGGGTAATTACAATGTTTAGGTTTTAGATATTTGTTATATTCTTAATCCAACACCGTAATATACCAATATTAAAAGGTACCCAATATACACTGGATAAACCATGTGTCCACGTTTCAAAGAAATTAACTTGGATTCGTTTTGAAATTCACTATATCTATTTCTATAGATATGTGCACCAATTGAAGGGTTTTTGAAGGTTTTCCTGAAGTTCATTAAAGAAAGATTGGTTGCGTTTGTACATAGACTATATTGAAATGTTAGACAGGGTTTCCATACTTACTTCTTATTTCTCCTTCTACTTTGTCCACACCTCTACCAACCAAGACGCAGAGGCTCTGTCTATTTATTTGATGACAGGAGATAACTCGTCTTGGTCTCGTTCACCAGCAGACCATCCGCCCGATTTTTATCGAAGCTGGCGAAAAAGAAGTGTGACGTGTTAAATCAAGTATTGCAGTCGGATATATACCACCGAAATGCCGAAATGCTCTCAGGAACTGTCAACTTGACAGTACTTTCAAAAATTATTTGCGGATAGTTTTCTGTTGCTACAACGAACAACATGTCATTAGGACTTACAAAATTGTTTGCCTAGAAGTCCTGTAATTAACTGATTAAGTGTTCTTCTGATTAATAAATGCTGAAATTCTATCCGTTTTTTTTCAGGTATATTCCAAGATTTGGGGAAAATGCCATTATATTGATTTCTCCTATATGAAGCTAGACTTCAATGGAACAGACCGTGGTAATTGAGTAATTTATGTGGCTTGCACAAGGAACACTTAAATCATCAGTACCCGCAACTTTGTTATTCTTTAGGAGCACTAATGCTCGATCTACTTTAAATCGAACAATGTAGCATTAAATCCATCTTCCTAGATTGCGGTTATTCTATATTGTTTTTTACATTTTCTCTAATACCAAAGAGTATATTTCACGCTTAAAATGTCCCATTCATCTTATGAACACATGCTCATATCTATACATTTTTTATTAAATCGCTTAAATTTTTTTTGTGTTCTATTTATTTAAATTTTTATTAGCCGCACGTGCCACTTATTATGCCAACAAGACAATTTGTTATTCGTGGTTTAAGCCGCTTCCTGCCAACTGTCACGCCAACCGCCGGCAACCGCCGCAGCTTCGTCGTGGATTCTCTTCAGCACTTGAAACAGTTGCAGTAGTGGCAGCAGAGTCTAACGGCTGTTGGTGGCACGCGACACTCACGCCACCGCCACCAACACAATGACTTAAGGACTTGTGGCAGTAACCACTCAATCGCTTAACCAGTTATTCAAACAACCGTGGTAGTATGTGTGCGCGCACCGCCAACCTGCAGCGCTGGTTACTCGCTTGGTTTGTTTACCTTGCGATCCTGGGCGACACGTGCGGGTGTGGTAAGTGCCAACAGGCGCCAGTCAAAGCTTACAAACCGATTGCTTTGGCTTTCGATTTCCGCAATCCACTATGCCCCTTTGAAGGCGTGTTTCGTTGTCTACGAAGAATGGCCGGCTAACGGTTATGGTGTCATCGCCACTTGCACGGGCTGTTGCGTCTTTTGTCGTGTAATTACGTTATTACGATATTCAAATATGGCTCGGTATGTGGCGCACGTCATGTCACGTGACCATGTTATGATACCACAAATGCTCGGCTGATGCCACCGCTGTCACGCCTACGAAAATTGTGACAGACTCGGGCACTTGAGTGCTAACAAGAGCCGAAATGTTTAAACGCTCGTGAGCGAGCAATATTTTAAAGGGTTAATTTATTGAATTAGTGCATTAGATAATATTACACAGGCCGCTGAGTATTCCCCATTTAACGGTGTTAAGTTGTTTAAAAAGCAATTAAGTCCAATAATAAGCAAAAAGGGGGCTTAAAGAGTCTATGAATAAATAATACTAACAAAGCAAATATGAGCATAGTTAAATGTCATTCAATTGCATCCCTTTCTAGAATCTTACTAAGCTCTACTTATTTGATTATGAGTTGATTATTTTTACTAATAGGAACGTGTACCAGGCGTAACGACGCAGAAAATAACGAGTTATGCAATGGCTCGAGTGAAATCTAAAATTTTAGATTTCCAGTTCTAAATGATATATATATATAAGAGTAATTTGGTCAGTAGTATTATGGTTAAACATTAAGCGTCTCAATTAATGGCCATGAAATTTATAAATTAAGAAAATTAAGGAAATTCTATATTTGAATTATATATCAGCATTCATAACAGAATTTCAGAATGGACTCGTTCTCTTTATTTATCCTCCATTTTACAAAGTGGTCATTAAAGGTTCGTTCCAAATTTTCCTTGCCAACAGCAGACAAGAATGTGATATGGCAATTAGAAAAGTAGAAAAACTTTCAGATGCGAACCGCCTTTTCGCCTAGTTTGTGAGTTTGATCAAAATTACTAAGAAAAGTCGAAGAAAATTTCGATTATCGTTAATATCGCCTTTAACAGTTTATTGACAAATTGAATGTCGTTTTTATGTATTTGTACAAGGTATGTTCGAAAACAAGGGAAATTAAAATTTCGCGAGTGTGGCGAGTCCAATTGTCAATTTTTGTTATCCTCGTATTGATAGACATGCCCCAGAAGTATGATAACATTTTCAACTGTATTTATTGCTTACTTTATCAGTAACAGTCGCTAAGGTTAAAAGAAATAGATTTAAGAGTTTTTTCGTGCATTCTTGGTCAAAAATAATATATAAAAGCGCATCGCTGAAAGAGCTAAAGGTGCATAATATCAAATTGGGACTATTTTGAAGGCGACAACATTAATATAGACAAATAAATAAATATTTCTTTCAAACGAAAACTCCCGTTTTTTTTTTGAACACACCACGTATATATAGCCACTTTTCAGGAGAACCCTTTCGAATGCCAATCGATATTAGAAACAAGAAAAAACATTAACTTCGGTATGCACCGAAATTAGAATACTCCTTCACAAATACAAGGCTCGTTACAAGAACTTGATTCAATTTGTATGTTGTTGTCTTAAATAATAATCCATGCCAAATTTCGTGAAGATACCTTGATGTTGTAGCTTTTATCAAACCCAGGTCTTGCGGAGAGACACGGCACCGCAGCTTGTAAATTGCTACCAAATAACGATCCAGCTTGACATACTACCATATTATCTACAACTACAACGGGGTCGTATCAGATGTTGCTTTTTGTAAGACTCTCTCTCCTTTTCAGCAGCATATTCCACATTGAAGACGTTGATCACTGGTTATTATACTTCTTGGATCTCTTTCACCTACGAAACAATTCTCCATCGAATATCAGACCGAATTCCATAAACTTAGGCCATAGTCCTTATATATATGTCTTTATACAATATCTATGATGTACTTCGAAATATTATTTGTGAAATTCAAAGAAAGATTCAACAGAAAGCGTTGGCAGCCCTCTCTTTCCAGTTTATAGGTAAAAACAGAGGGTAATATATCCAAATTCTCAAAAGGGGCATAATGTCATTTGTTAACTAAATAATAAGCAGATAACTATCGCTGCTCTACTCTCGAGTTAAACATTTTACTGCCGATTAAATTATGTCAACGAGCGTAATCGCCTTTTCTCCATGTATTAGAAGTACTATAATCATTTATTCTGTATAACGATGTCTCCCCTGTGTCAATTCCTTTCATCCTCTCATCCACCTGCCCACTGCTTCTTTCGCATAAAAGGAGCTTCCGAAGTGATTACAAACCAATTTTCGGAACAATGAACAATCAAGATTCTCTGTGGCATAATAATTTGCGGTTTGTATTGCAAAAAGAAAGAAATATCGCCATTGGGGCCACAACAAAATGGTCACTTCCTTACTTTTGCCTGCATACACATATGTAGAGCGGCGAAAAAACACCAACAAAACAGGTCTTAACAGTTTCCACAACATTTGCACATGAAGTGCAACGGCCACAAGTGGTTAATGCTTGGAGAATCCTCACTAGAATTGCTTGACGGACATTGAACGCATCGCGCCAGCGCCACAATTAGTCGCCAGCGGGCCGTTTGGGCAGTGGATAATCGACAAAGTTCTTTTTTCATTGCCTTCCTGCTCGGCTTCCGATTTGGTTTGCATTTGGACTCTTTGTGTTCAAATAAACAAATTTGTATGTATGTAAGTATTTTCCCTCGGGGGTGAGCTAATACTTGGCGCAGTGAAATTGCTACCCACTCACCGTGAACGCACGCGGGAGTTGTTGGACTCGCGAAAAAGCGAGAGTAAATTAAATGTATCAACCCTTAAGCATGCGTCTGACATTACCGCTGATAAGCCTCGAGGCGACACGTTGTTGTGGACTTACCTCTGCATGCCGTGCGTGTGTGCAAATGTGTGCGTGTGCGTAGTACAAGTTTGATTGTTTGTACGCGTCGCAATTTCATCGACAAACATAAAAAGGTATAAAAACAAAAACAATTAACAAAGAAAACCTTAAGCATATTCTGATAATTTAGGGTTGCCAAGTGGTAGATATTTAACATATGAGTTCTTTTAGTGGAACTGATCGTAAAAGCAATCTAGGCTCCAACTGGCTTTATAGGTTTAGTTGGCAATTATAGACTTATGCAGACGACAATATCTCATATATGGATACGGGTGCAGATGAAGCATTACAATTTTGGACCATATGGTAGCGGGGCAATTCTATTAGCTACATAAGGTTATATCCATGGCTTGCAGTTTACCTTCGCGATTTTTGGTTTCTTTGAGCTTAAAAATCAAATGGCATGGAAACCAGATCCAACTTTGGATTGTGCAGAAACAATTCAGAGAAATACTTCCAGGTCTGGAACTCTCATTCTATAGTCTGTTAATCGAGCTCCACAAATATTAATTTCCTCATAAAAAACGAAATTCCGTGTTTAAGTACAACTCACGTAGCACTCTTATGGTAGACTTATTTTGGCAAAACCGTTATCTGCCATGGCAAACCTCTCTACCAAATATAACAGCATTTTTCGCCCAGGTCTTCTGTAGAACCGAAAAAACAGGATATATTTACTTAACCAACCAATCGCTTTATTTGACTTATTTGGCAACTCTTAACAACATTTACATACGCACATAAAATCATAATTTCACTGCAGACGAAAAGTCAGCGCTGCTGACTTGCATGCAACACACACGCACACTCGCACACAGAACCACCAACTGATTGCAGCCGAATCTCTTTGATCGCGCAACAAGCATTAGTGTCGCTCGACCAAGTCATCCTTCCGATTGGTGACTACACTCACAGCTCACGACGCTGGTGCCTCAGCATTGGGCGGCTTGTAAGGGTGCCGCGGCGGTGGTAACGCAATTGACAACGCCATTCCACACCGCACGGCCACAAAGCACTGCAACCGTTTTAGTTGTTGCGAACTAGACCAACCCCCTGCAGTAATCGGCAGGATTTGAGATGGCGCCGCCACGACCGACATCAATACGCAAGGGGTTGCACTGCTCGAGCGGCTCATAAGTGCGCGCTAGCCAACGGGTTGTTGCGATGTTCGCACATCGAATATAAAACTAATGAGCGCCCTTAAAGCCCGTTTAGTTGGTAAAGAAACGCGCAACGGGCAACAACCGAAACACAAACGAGTGATCACACAACAAAAGTAAAAAACACACAAAATTACGTGCGTGAAAATGCATACTATCGACATTGAATCGTACCGTTACTGGGTCGTCAAGTGAACGAAGTTTGCGTATCTCGTCAAGCGCACAAACGCCGAAGTAACAAGTGTTCATAACTGACTGTTGGGTGAAAAAAAAACACATTTTAAATATAACAGTAAAATGTCTTCGTGCTATAGTGGTTTTGACGATCGCTCATTCGAGTTTGAAGATTCGTCCGACGATAGCGGTTATGAGAAAAGTTTCGAAACCGACTGCAAACTTACGCCACGTAAGCTCATCTTCGATGCTGGCGCGGATTTCTATGCGGCCTCCGAGTCAGCCATGCCTTCTGGCTGTTACAATAGCAGCGGAGTTGGTCAACTGATGGAGCGGGTTTCATTTCCCGCACTACTCGATGCCAGCAGCAACCATAGTACACGTAGTGGACGCACACTCGTAGAGCATGTGATCAGTAAAGCGCTGGCAACAGAATCAGAGTTCGCGCCCAAGCTAACATCGACACCAACAAAGAATGCCGCCGGCGCTGGAAGTAGTGATCAACCGACTGAACCGCGTCAAAAGCGCAAATATGCCGTCGGCAAGAATCGTGTAACGCGTTCACGGAGCCCTACCCAGGTGGTACGCATCAAAAAGGTTCGGCGCATGAAAGCAAACGATCGGGAACGAAATCGTATGCATACACTGAACGATGCCCTGGAGCGGCTGCGCGTCACGTTGCCGTCACTGCCGGAGGAGACGAAGCTGACGAAGATCGAGATTTTACGATTTGCGCACAATTACATATTTGCGCTCGAACAAGTGCTGGAGAGTGGTGGCACAATCAATCTCGATCTGGAGAAGCTGCAGAACTTCACACTCAGCGGAGAACGCATCACCAAAGAGCTTTTTGATGCCATTTTCGTTAACCCACAACCCTACACGAGTATCTACAGCATGGGCTGTGGGCTCAGCGGTCGTATGCCATATGAGCTTCAGGAACAAATGCCAGCAGCACACTCCTACTTGGAACAACAGCATCTGCTGCAACGCGGTCGTCCCCCACAAGGCTACGCATATGGTAGTGACATGCGCCCCTATAATGTGCAACATGAATCCCATAAGCCGTTGGGCGACCGCTTGGCGGTGCATCCACATTTTTCCCAGGAGAAATATGAGCTGTATAAAAACACCTTCGAAGCAGCAGCCAACATTCAACCCACCTCAGCTGTTATATACACGGGTGGTATGTGCGCGCAAGAAGAGCGAAATAGGCCGGACATCACTCCAGCTGGATTCGCAACACAGCCTCTATACACTCAACTGTCTACGAACAGCAACTGTTATATTCCGGAGGATCAGCCAACAAGAATCGCACCATCACCACCCATGGTGAGGCAAGGGAGGGAGATCGCGCAGCCGTCCATGATGCACCACACCAGCAGTTTTTACACTCAAACGCCACCTTGGAAGGATTACAACGAACAGCTGTTGAATACCAGCCATAGTAGCTTCGAACAGTATTCCCACGTATAGCAACGGGCGCTGTTAGATATTTTAGTGTATATAGTAAAGGTGTATTTGGAGAAGGAAGAAGGCCACTGGAGGGTATACATTTTCAATTTAGTTCACAGACAATCGTAACAGAAAGAGGAATACGTTATTGGTTTTTGGATTCTACGAATGGCTTTAGGCACTCAATGATCTTTGCAACTGCTTGATCGGTTATAGTTTCAAAGCCATGCATACAACTCAAAACCTTTCAGTTCCATTAATTTAGTTCATTAAAAAATTTCTATTCTCAACGAGAACTCATCCACAAATTTTGAAGTCAATCAAAATTTCCAATTGACTAGATTGAATACTTTAAAATTGTTGTAGATGATGGTTGTGCTAATAAAGTTAAAAACTAATAATTTCTGAAGCCTTGTTGGGATGAGAAAACAACCCGTGTTGCTTGTCTTAACAATGCTTCTGAACAATACATATATATGAATATATACCATAAGATCTCATTAAAGAAACTGCTTTGCAGTTCTACGCTGTTGAGTAACGGATCTGCATATCAGTCTTCTTTGAAAAACCAAAATTATAAAACATTAATTTCGATATTTAAAAAAAAAACTATTTTATTATAAATTGGGTTTCGCTGTAGTGATCTTCAGCGGATCATTGCGGAAAATCCCCATTTTAATAACAGTAAATATTATCAAATACCAACTGCTCAAAAATATAACAATTATATTTTTGGAGGAGGTATTTATACAAGATTACGGTATTAGCCAACTTGACACTTAGTTGTTAATTTTTGTCATAGAATGCCGTAACTTTGTGATCTTAAAAATGTCAAAAAATTTTTTTTTTTTGACAGCGTTCTATAGACTAACTCAAAGTATCAGGTACCTAAAAGTAGTTGTTATAAGCTTTATGAAATGTGAGATTTTTGATATTTACCAAAGAGAAAATATTTGTGAATAGATAAGTGAATATATTTTAGTAAGCTAGAAATTTATTGTAATACATTCAACAGGAGCTAGTCATTTCCGATAATAAAATAAAGTACTTTATAGGAGGTTAAAGTTTACGAGAGTTAGGTGAGTCTACTAACGAATCAATTAATACAGGTTGTAATGTAATGAAATATATACATACATAGTTGTCGTAATAAATGTACGCTGATGAAAATAAAGTTCGAGAAAGAAGAATATTGTGTTAACGTATTAACGTATTTATTTTATACACGGATTTTTATTTCCAACTCAGAAACACCAGCACCATTATACAATTTTAACCCGTTCTCTCGTCAGGAAGCAACAAATTGATACTCGCTAAAATTACAACTTAGTGCAATAGATTCTCGTATATCACAAGTGGCTTGAAGGGAGACAGTGCACTGTGAAGAAATAAATGCTAAGAAATATTGAAAGAACCGCAGCGAGAATCTCTCTATGCACCAAAACAAAAACCTAACGGACTTTGAAAGCTCTATAGAACTTGTGTACAATATCTCAAGGAAATTTTTTTCTTTTTCCACTTCTAAAGAGCCGGAAATCACTAAATGCCATTTATCGTGGCATAAATATACTATTGCAATACATGCATGGTTTTTCGATGCCATTTGTGATCTGATTATAAACCTTTGAGTGGTGATCTTGAACCCTTTCCGCAGAGAAGAAGAGAGAGACAAAAATATTTACTTTTACCAATTACAAACATTACCTATGTATGTATATTTCTATGATGAGATGCCTCAGTGAGTAGAGCCATGGCTCGACTGGTGCAACTATTGGACAAATTTTATTATATGCAAATAAAAGTATTTTCAGAGACCGCGACGTAATCGCATTGGTTTGAGGTAGAGTAAAAGATTTAGTTTGGAAGCAATTGAAGTCGTATCAATAACCTTATTAAAGTTAAGCATATGGTAATTACTTTTGCCAGCGAAGGCTATTTCTTTTCGAGAATTGTTCATATACAATAATCATGTCATAAGCAAGTCATGAATATGATTTCCACAATAAAGATGGCAAACAAAAGAGATTGAGAAGGAGGAGGTGGAAAAGCAGTTGGACGAAAAACAAGCACGACTTTGGATGCTTTTAAGAACCAACTTCCAAAGAATCTACAGCGGACGGAACTTTTTAGCGGCTTTAGAAACATCGAACAAAAAATGAAAACTCTTGAAAGCGTTACAAATATTGAAAGTTCTAACAATATTAGAACCATTTTTGTTATTTATTATAAATTATTAGTTTTTCGTTCCTGCGTCCTTTGATTCGTAAATGAACTGCATATAGTTTTTTCTATGTGACAGACATACTCACATACATATATGCTAAACGATGTAAGTCATTAAATCGGCAAACAATTTTTTTCACGTTTGTCCGTCCGCAACAATAACAGTGAAATCAGTAGCAACAACAGTAATAACAACAACCCCAAAAACAACAGATTTCGACGAAGTAAAGAAACGTCAAATTCAAATAAATAATAATAACGAGCAGCTTCGCGCTGTGAGCAGGAATATTGCCACATACGCGTAAATACCGCGGCCTCTTCGGCAAATCCAACACACACGCGAACCCCTATGCTTGGCTGTAAGAGCGCACCCGTGCAATTCGTTACGGGGTGAGTTAGCCAACCAGCAGTCTGTCAGTCAGTCAATGAGCGTGTGTGTGTGTATGAGTGGATTGCAGGAAACAATAGGAAACTTTACGATTTCACGTCACCTGCCATACACAATGGCCGGGCGCTGAATTACAGATTTGCTCTCAACATCATACACAACACCACTACACACAAACACACGCACTTAGCCCGTCAGCGTTTGAAAGAAAGAATGCGAATCGTGAAACATGAGCACTGGACCCGAAAGACGTGAATGGCACTCAAATTATATAGTTGAATGCATCGACAAGAGCCGAAAGAGCGGAGCGAAGCTGTCGAGAAATGATTTTGAAAAAACTGCAGATTTGTAAATTTCGATGAATTCGCAGGGACTCGTTGGCAGTTGCTGCGGGTGGTGCAACTAACGTGGGGTATAACTTATTTTCGGACGTAATCGCAAAAACTTATATTCTTCTGCATAATGCTACACTTTTTATATAACAAATTGAAAGCTCCACCTCCATAGCAGGAAGCTTAACTCTTACACACACCGTTAGCTGCCTGGTGGGTAATCAAAATTTTGGCTGAAAAGTGCGCTGCTCAAAGAAGTAGCAAAACAGTGATTATTCCAATCGAATGCTCTGATCCAGACTAGAATGCACTAAGCCAACAAAGTGTACACAACTTCAACACGAGGCACTCGGCTGTGCGTCGCGGTGCTGTTTTATGCCGCGCTATGCTATTCTAAGCGACACAAAATGCCATTTGCGAGGTTTTGTCAAAGGTGTTAGGATTTATCTTTGTCATCATTCGATGAAATCCATACAAAGACGCACTTACACACTCACACACAGATGCACAGCAGGACAGATTTAGGATTGTCAGGTCCCTGCATTAACGGTGAACTAGCAGGGGTTGCGAATCGCATTCTGCTTGAAACCAAAATGAAATGAAATAAAACGAAGTGAAATGAAATAAAAGCAGGCTTGCATAGAGCTGGGCGAAAGACTAATGCTCCGCGCCTTGCCGGGGTAGATTCTTATCCGCCAAATTACGTCTGATCCGTTACGTGGCGGCTCGTCTTTCAATTTGAAGTTTCATTTTTTAAGTTTTTCACTTTTCGCTGAACTGCTGTTGCGCGAAAGTATGTTAATGCATTTGAGTTGAAATTATTAATAGAAAACAATTTTCCGATTTTAATGAAACGATAAGAAAACCAAAAGAATACAAATTACTATCCAACATTTACATCGCATTTGTGCCAATCATCCGGCTCGCTGATACTTTTGGGAATTAACTTGATCACTTTGCTATTGCTGTTGTTATTGTTGTTGTTACGGTTTATGGCGCAGAGATTGATAATAGCGGTTCTAGTATGACTGGCGATTTGCACTCTCATTGCACAACGACAAGTCCTTGCGCAAATACATACACGCACACACACACATACATACATAACGCTCATGCATTATTCAACAGCAATTAAGCGGACATACTTGTTGTTGCTTTTTCCCTGTGGCTAACAATGGCACTTGAATCAATCAAAAGTATACTTTTTGGCAAATTTCTGCTCGGATAATGGAGGACAGCTCTGAGGGGATCACTCGGTAATTGAATATATTGAGTAATGCCATTGTAATGGAACGCCTGCGTATGTGTGTGTGTGGAAGACGGTGGTGGTGCCAAAGGGTTACTTGTTAATTTACTTTTGAGTCTTTATTTACTTTTGATGTTCATCATAAAACAGTTGCGTTATTTACATTTTGTCACGCACTTTTACTCAAAGATAATAGAAAAATGTTAATCGCCAAATTGCAAACGAAATGCGGAAGTCTGACATCTGTGGCCACTGAGGTGGTGTAACTAATAAGAATTCCTTTAAATCTGGTACAACCGAATGGATGTATTCTAAAGGCTAATTTCTACAAGCTACTCTGCTGAAGTTCTTAAAAGCCTTGACAATTTTCCATTATGAGTTGTCCAAACCATTTAAAGAAAAGTCCACAAACCGAATTATTGCGACGGGTCCAGCGCAAAGAAGTGTGTGCAATGCAATGTAGATGCAAATAGACCCTTACATGTAAATCACTTCATTTGTGTCTCGCTTTACACATCGCTGCATAAAATGTCGGCCCTGAAATCAAACGTGCTTTTGGCAACAATTGTTACTTTTAACTGATTTACCAAATGAAAGAGTCCTCTTCCTTTTTTGTAGAACAAAACTGACACTTAACAAGTCTCTCTTTCAAGACCATTACAATACAAAGTGGCGTGAAAGATTTTGCTTTCTTTGGCAATGGCTCTGAGTAGTACCATTCTAGCCAAAACTATCGTTTCACATTTGTGTTTCACTCTCTGAAGGTAGCTTAGTTTTGTGAGTTGATATTGCAGGTGTGTTGCTGGTTTAACATAAGACTGCCAACAAATATCCATCAGCTGTTTAAAGACGTATACGTGGTGTGCACAAAGGAAAAGGTGAATTTTGAATTTTTTTGAAAAGTAGTTATTTGTTCATCAATATCTATTTTGTCCCCTTTAAAGTAATCTCTTCCAATCTTCGAAGCACTTCTGAAGTGCACTTTTCGGTATGGCCTTCAGCTGTGTCTTCGATGACTTGATCTCATCAATTGTGCCAAAACACTTTTCTATCATTGGTTTCTTCAGTTTTGGTAATAGGAAAAAGTCGCAGGGAGCCAAATCTGGTGAATAAGGTGATTGAAGCATGATTACACTTTTGTTTTAGGCCAAATAGCGATACTAATGCGACATTGTTTTTGCTCAAAATTTAGCAATTTCATGCCCAAAATATTCGAGAAAATTGAATGGCGGGAGCCGATTGATATGCCAACATCCTCTGCAACTTCTCTAATAGTGATTCGACGATTTTCGATGTTAAAAATCAAAGAGCATACAAAAACGTGACTAACCTTTTCTGTTGTCAAAAACAAACTACTAATCGAAATTAGCTCCTAATGCAAGCACATGATAAACCTGCATATGTGTCCGATTATACCAAAAACAAAATATCGATAATCATATGTACACAGCCCGCGAAAAATCAAAATTCACCTTTTCCTTTGAACACACCTCGTATACCTGATAAAGAAATGGAAAAATTATTCTATATTCTTTTCGAGTGAAAGGTAATCGTACAAGTAATCATACGGAAATATGAAAAACAAACTAAAACCAATTATTACTAGCAACTTCCACAATAACTGTGTAAACACGACATTTGGCGGCGTTGCAAATCGCCAAACGGTCCCTTTAAAACAGAACCAAGTTCATGAAACGCTTCATTTGCGAAAAAGGCAAAATGAAAATTATCGAAATTGAAATTGATTCGCCTTAACCCAGCTTCAGCGAGAGTTCAATCCGCAGGATCAAAGTGTCAGAACGCGAGCGCGCACTAATAAATAATTTCGCAACAAATGAAGCGAGCAAGTGGCGAAAATGCAACTTTGATACACTCGCATGCCTATTACCCAAATGGCAAAAAACAAACATATTTGAATGGTCGTGTATGAGTGTGTGTGTGTGAGCGTGTTGCGCCGCAGCCGGAAATCGAATCAAATAAAACCCT